ATCCAAACACCTCATGGAATAATGAAGATATATTGGAGCCACAATCAGGGTTTCAAGCTCCAGAAGAGGAGACATGTTTAAATAAAAATCTGGAGGTCCAATCAACTCATTTGCTCAACTTAGTTGCTGAAGAGATACAAGGTGAGTTACCTAGTGCAACAATGAAAAATCAAGAAGAAGAGGTAAACACTTTACTCTTGGAGATTGAAGGACAACTTTAAGAAGTGGAAAACATGCCTGCAGAAGCTAAACAAGAGGATGTCCCTAAGGAGGAAGAGGAAAAAGCTTAAGTGTCATTTGAAGTGTTCAATGAGGAGTCTCCTTTAACCAAATATGATTTTAATGATTATTTTGTTATTGACATGGTTGATGAGATTTTGCAAAAAAACACTTATGAGGATTCATTTGAGACTTACCTTATTCAAGCAAAAGACTCAATCAAAGAATACATAAATTGCTTAAACACATCATCTTCCTTGGAATCAAAGGGGGCACTCCTAGAAGAATTGGGAAGGCACATCTGCTGGCCTAAACCCAAACCACCTCAAAATAGTTATTGGAGAAAATCTTATGGTGGATTCAACTTAAGGGCAAGAAAGCCAAGATTTAGGAAAATGAGAGGACATGCCTTACGACCTGATCCAAAACCACCTTGGAGTGGTAGAAAGTCTAGCTAATGACTATAAATTCAGTGCCTCTTGGGAGGCAACCCAAGCATAAAATTTTTCTTTTCTTTTGTTTCTTTGTCTTTTATTTTAATAATTTAGATTTTTTTAAAATCATTTTCCCTTTATGGCCTAGGTTAATGCATAAATTGTTGTTCTTTGATTTTGGCCAGGTCATTGAACAAGTTTGGGGGGACGAGATTATGGAAGTTCACATGCTTAAAGTCTCCAATTGAAAGAGCTCAACTTCAGAACTTAAATTTTCAAGTGCAAAACCTACGAAGTTTCTCTTTTCTCTTACTTTTATTTTACATTGAGGACAATGTTTGATTTAAG